TAAATTTGTAAACAAACAGAAATGGAAACAGTCATTTTAGAAATGTGTTTCGAAAACAATTAACATACTGATGTTAAACCAGTATTTCTAAGGCTATATTCGCTGAACTAATTTGGTCACTAACATCTGACTTACTAAGATAAAAGAGCCTATGTTTTCTCCATGTTTCTCCTCATACTGTTGTGGCAAACTCATTTATGCACAGTTAAGTGGTTGAAATTAGAATTAAATAGCAATTGATGACTGTGGTCTGACAAAGTCTTTCAAAAAAACACAGAATTTAGGGAGAACATTAATAAAAGAGAATGCTAGATAATGAAGTTTTTTCTCAGTGTAGTTACACCAGTGCTTTGTAATTAAGGGATTAATAATTTGTATCCAAAGGTTAAAGACTCACTATTTGGTTCTGAAGAGTCTAGTCTCAACCGAGAATTAAGGCTAATAAGGAAGTATGTTAGAAATTATCACCCAATACTAATTACCCTTTGTATTAGCTCACTATGTCAATCTTCTCCTAAAATATGGATTATAATTTTTCATTTACAAATAACATGTGTGATTGATTTTGCTCATTTGTCCAGTTAATTATGTTTTATCTTTATCAGGGAAAAAAGGGAAAAATAGCATTTATTTTGCCAAGGAGGAAACAATTGTGAGGTCTGTTTTATTTCCTACTCTTCAAATTATATAGTGTTCAACAGTGCACATGTCTTAGAAGCTAAAAGCCAAAGGCTCATGTAACCAATTTGCCTTAGAGATTCATGGTACTCCTTGTGGGTTATATCAACATTTTAGACAGAAGTTGTTTCTTGTACCTCAGAATCCGAATTCCAAAATAAAATGTGGATGCCTAGTTTCTCCTGGAAAATGAAATGGTGCAACAGCTGACCTGCATCTCCACGTGGCTGTGGGGCTGGTGTTTCCTGACTTTCCTCTTTATATTCCACTTGGTTACTTTTGAGCAAATCTTTATGACCAAATCCAGTCTACCTAATAATAGTGAAAAAGTGAGGCAGAGCCTTGAGAACACAGTACCCATATGGAGATGAATTGCTAATATTGATGCTTTGGGACCAGCCTGGTGACACTGGAGGTGGAGGTGATAAACACCAGAAACTAGGTAACAGTAGGGAGTATCCTCAGCTTGAATATACTTTGTGTGTCAAAGGAATGTGGAAGCATGCTTGATGTCTTTTAATGAAAACAATACAACTTGGATTGCGAAAAGTTTACAGTAAGCAAAGTGGTGAAAATAATAAATCAAATTCATTGGTCCTATGGAAACTGGCATAATAACATATTACCTTCTAAGAGAAAATTAAATCAGTTATGTGGAAATGGTTAAGCCTTAGTAATACTAAACTACCATTAATATAGTTCAAAATATTAGGATGCCAAGCATACATAGGTGTATACATTGTCTCTTTTCTTCTAGGTACATAGCAAGAATATATTTTTCTTCAGAGTGGCATTTGGCTTGTTTTGGCATTAGTGAAAACAAAGTTGCTTCATTTCCAGCCTGAAACGCTGAGAGGCCATGTGTGCCTGACCCTTCTATTCTGCAGTGGCAACACTACCAAGAGAGCTGGTCTTCTGAGGTGTCCTTGTAGGAGAGCAGAGCCACCAATAGATGCTTGCTGGTGTGCAGTGTGAGTGAGAAATTGCTTTTGCTGTTTCAGATCACCATGGCTTCTATACTAGACTGGATTTCGTCATATAAATGTGCTCAAAAGTAGCCAAGTGGAATATCAAGAGGAAAGTCAGGACACACCTGCTGCACAGCCACATAGAGAGGCAGGTAGGGTGCTGGACCAGTTCTCTGGATTGGGCCTCAATAATTTCTCAGACTTCATTCATTCCTGGTTTTTGTGTATTTTTATATTCATATCATTTTGTAAATCACTTTATTCTCTCTCTGTTTTATTCTCTCTGTGTGTCTCGTGTGTGTGTGTGTGTGGGTGTGTGTGTGTGTGTGTGTGTGTGTGTGTGTGTGTGTGTGTGTGTGTGTGTGTTACTCAAGTGTGTAGCAGCCACCAGACATGAATGCTGGGAATAGAACTGTGGCCTACTGCAAGATCCTTTTCTATCCCTCATATAATTCTCCTAAAGTTATCTTTAAGTCACCTCAAAATTTAAACCTTAAAAATGCAGCCTTATCTATGGAAAGAGAAACCTGGACATCAATTCATCTACATAACCTTTCACCTACAATTTGTCCTGCCTGCAAGATGTGCTGGTGCAATGGTGGTGCAGAACTTGTGGAACTGGCTAACCAATGTTTGGGCCAATGCCACAAGACAAAGTCTATGCCCTATATTGCCTGGGTGACCAGGAACCAGAGACTGGATATCCCAGAGACCTAGGGTAAAACCAAACACTCCTGGAAAATAATCAACAAAATGTTTCTTATATTTTTGGTTGTGAGCCTAGCCTTTAACGGCTGAGCCATCGCTCCAGCCCTGATTCCTAATGATATTCTGCTATACTCATAGATTGGTGCCTTGTTCCATCTTCATTAGAGAGGCTTTCTTCAGCAGCTGACAGCAGTGGGAGCAAGGATCCACAGACAAACATTAGCAGAGAAAAAATATAAACTGGATGTCTCTATCTGGTCCCTCCCCTTGGAGATCCAAGAACTCAGCTGCAGAGGGAGAGGAGTTAGAGTGGATGGAGGGGAACATGACCCACCAAATAAACTAAGCAGGGCTCACATGGGCCCACAGAGACTGAAATGGCAAACAGGGGCCTGCATGGGCCTACATCATGTCCTTTGAGCATATGTTATGGCTGTTAGCTTGGGGTTTTGTGGGGATACTAACTGTGGGGGCAGGTTGTTTCTGACTTTTTTTGCCTGTTCTTGAGACTCTTTTCATCCTATAGGGTTGCCTTGTCCAAGCTTAGTATGAGAGATTTACTTTTTCTTATTGTATCTCGTTTTGCCCTGTTTGACAGTCATCTCCTGGAGACCTGCTCTTTTCTGAAGAGGAAACAGAGGGGAAGATGATCTAGAGAAGAGTAGAGATGTGTGTGTGTGTGTGGGGGGGGCTAGAAGGAGTGGAGGAAGGGAAAACTGTGTTTGGGATGTATTTATTCTATGGGAGAAAAATCTATTTTCAGTAAAATGCAGCCTTGTTTTAAGCCATGTGTTTGGTATGTGCTAATTATATTATAATTATATTTAAGGAAATATGTAGCCATTAAATGTAATCTCCCACACCAAATTTTGAGAAACACTGAGGCACAAAGGAATGTTTCTTGTCTTTCAGTAAGAAGTTCTGCTTTCTAGTAATGTAGCATTGCTAAATAGACATGATATGCCTGTCAAAGCACCTTCTAAATATTTATCTTAATACCCATAGAATGGTTATGCTGTCCAGTTTGGAGAGAGAAGCTTCTTTTTGCCATAGGTGGTGGTTTCTGTTGGGGTTCATACTGATGCAAGTGCTGAGAACAAGTTACCACTGAATGCTAGGACTTCAATGGGTAATCTATTCCAGAAAGAAGAGGGGGCAGAAAGCCAAAGTGTGGACTGTTATACAATGCTGTCTTCTAGGTAAGATACAGCTGGCTGTTGTTCTGCTGAACTGCAACAGTTGCCCTTGTTTGCACAAAACCTGCCCCATAAATGGGCTGATGTTATTTTATGGAAAGGAGTGAGAGTCATGAGTTCATACTTCTTTGGGACTTATAGGCTGGTAGTGGTTTCTGGAGGAGGAAGAGACAGTTTCTTCAGTAGTGTACCCACTTGTCCCTCTAAGCAACCCTAAGTGAACTCACTGAATCACCAAAAAGTAAAAATCAAGACATGAAATTGGAAGGGAGATTATATAGGGGAGCGAAAGGGAGCCTGCAGCAGTGGGAAAGGACAAGAGTGGATAAAGAGGTGAATATGATTAAAATAAGTCATACGTATTCACAAAATATCACAATAAAATCCATTATACATAGTTAATATATGGTAGCTAAAAATAAAAACAAATTGCTTTCAAGTTCCAGATTTGCCTTAAAACTTGAATGCCATTCCAGTATTCAGTGGACTATGGAGCCTCCTTAATATATCTGGAATCAGAAACGGATGTCTATTATGAAGTTAATACGCGTGTGGATATATATCATAAGAAACTGTACCAAGTTTGTTTATAAAAATGATTAAGAAGGACAACATCACCAGCGTATCGATCTAATTTGTATATGTAAATTTGAAGGTGTGCAGGTGTAAAAGGGTAGATACACACATTTTTAAACACTTCCTTATTGGATCTATGAATACTTGCCCTTTAACATCAATTAAAATCATTATGTATACAGCTGGTAAATCCTGTCTTATGGGTGACAAACACAGACTCATGCATAATTACCCTTTTCCAACAGATAGAATACATTACCGAAAATGGTAGAGGATATTTTACGGGGGTGACAGCCAAGACAAGGTCTCGGAGATATGTGCCACTTGGTACTATCTGATGTCAAACTCCAACTAACCCATACAAATTTACATCCTTTAAACAATATGCTTTCTAAATGTAATTTGTGTGTAATAGGAAGCAGAGGCAAGAAATTCAGATATTCGAACAAATCTGGTCCCTTAAAGAGATACCAATGAATAATGAATCAAGCAGAATCTTTGGCTATAGGCCACCTATATAACACCAGGTGACATAACAGATATTGCAAAATATTTTAAGAGTTGCCATGGTATGGAATTAGACTGACTTGAGTTAGGCAAGGAATTGTGATGGGCTATATACACACAGAAAAATTTTAGGCTAAAAGTATATTTTCAGCGGCTCACCAGCTGGCAGTTACGAGCGATCTCACAGGGTTAGTGCAATCTCTCTCAGCTTGGAAGACTTTCTAGAACCCCAATATTAAGAAGGAGCATGGAAGTCAATGTTACTACCTGTCTAATACAGCTTCCTGCTTTGACTATTTGCTCAATTATTACAGACAGACAATTTATTACGGGTTAATCAAATATTAAAAATATTTCAACACAGTACCTTTCATTTTCTCTTAATATTTCTCTCCCCTTCCTCCAGGTGTAGACAGGTCTTGGAGATGCTTTTGGCTTACACTCAATGATAACTTCACCTCCCACCTTGACAAGTGTCACTCTTTTCAAGAGTGTTCTTGAGAAATCTGGACTTTCAGCTACAAACAATACAAAACAATAACGAATTATAATGGAAAGAAGAAACATCTTAGCTTTTTTTCTTTCTGGGTTACACTTAGTATAGATCACCAGAGACAAGAAGCTATTTTTTTTTTTCTGATGGAAAGCATGCAGCACTGTATGTTTGGATGGGTTATTAAAATTTAATCCATGATTTATATAAGATAAAATGCAACTGCTGTATGGATGTAACTTGATGGATTTTGTATCCTCCTCCACGAAGATCAAGATACCAAACATTCTTACCCCCCTGTGGATGATTCTCTTAAAAAATTTATTCCACGTTGAAATGGACAAAAATTTAAAAATTTAAGAGGAGCAATAAGGAAAGAAACAAAACACAAAAACACATTTGGCAAGCTTCCTGATTATGTATGCTAAAGTGGCCCTTTCGCTGACACTTACTGGTTCGGTTCTGCAAAACAGCATGGTCCTCCTGATCTCTCTCCCTCCTCCTATTCCTCCCTCTTTCCCTCACTCCTCCTCCTCTCTGTCTTTCTATCTCTGTCTCTGTTTCTGTCCTCCCCTTCCTTTCCTCTGCCCCCAGGCTTTGTATCCATTAGCCAATCCTTACATGGTTGCCTTCTGTCAGTTCCTCCTTAAAATCAAGGGCTCTTTCTGCTTTCCATCACCAGTACCCAAAACAATGTTCATCCTACTTAAAACAAATCAGCTGCATTTGCTGCAGAAATTTAGAAAACTGCGTTACACGCTCACTCTGATTGCTCCAAAGCATCCACTCACATTGATCTGTTACACTGTGCTGACCTGTTAATAATATCAAAGAATGACCGATTCTCTGAGACAAAACGCATCATCTTTAGCCTCATCCAAATAAATAAATCAATAAGTAAATAAAGCCATTCTGAAAGATTTCTGTTTTCTCCCGAGTTTATTTAGTTGCTGTAGGAGGAGGAATTCTTGAATGACCAGATGGATTCATTTTCTCAAGTAATTTGTACCTTATTTAAAATCTCTGACTCCTTGCAATTTAACTTCATAGAATTGAAGCTTTCAGATTATGTTGAAGACAACATTTAAATTCAAACAATAAATGAGTTAAAGGAGGACTTAGAGTGAGTGTGTATACACATGGGTAGGGTGAAGGCCCATTTATTTTTAAAACAAATTATATATATATATATATATATATATATATATATATATGAATGTTTTGAATCACATATATGTATATGCACTACATGTATTCAGTGTCCACAGAGGCCAGAAGAGGGCATCAGTTCTGATGGAACTAGAGTTACAGATGGCTATGAGCCCTGTCGGGGTACTGGGAGAAAAACTTGAGTCCTCTATAAGAGCAACAAATGCTCTGAACTGAGGAGCCACCTTTCCAACCCCTATAGGGCCATTTCTTAGATAAACTCAAACCAAAGCTGGTGATTTTTTTATTTAAAGAAATGGAATTGATCCTGGGGCTTCATGCATGCTAGGCAGCACTCTACTGCAGCATTGTATCCACAAAATTCTTGAAAATTTTTATTAGGTCTTACTAGGTTGCTCAGGCTGGCTTTGCACTGACTCTTAACCAGTCATACATTAAATGTATGACTCTTCTGCCTCATCTCCCCCAAAGTGGGGATGATAGGCCTATACCACAAGGCCTAGCTACAATTAGCAGTTTTAAAAATTCAAATCCATCTTTGAAGGAAACAAATCGACTTTTATTAAGAGCTTCTGTGGTAGAAATATTTTTCATAACTGCTCAGCGCAATTAAACAACAAAAAATCTTAGTAAATATTAAGCATGATTAAAATAGTATGCTATAATCAACATTTATATATGAAATATATTAAAATGGTATGCTATAATCAACATTTATATATGAAATATATATAAATAAAATATATACAGAATGCTAAGAATTCCTCTCCCTCTCTCTCTCTCTCTCTCTCTCTCTCTCTCTCTCTCTCTGTGTTTACATATTTTGTATAAAAGTAACTAGATGGAAAAAAAGTATCTACATTGCTAAGCTATAGAGTTAAGTTAAAACTGCAGGGAAATTGAGCACTATGCACTAGTGAAGTATGTGGCAAATTTTATCACGTGAATGAGATTGCCTGGTATTATCTTCATCTACTGGCTAGCTGTATTGATCTGTATTAGTTGGCTGTTGCTCTAGTTGCATCAATTGTGAGCTCATGAACATGTAAAGAAATGGCTCTCAACCTGCCTAATGCTGTGACCCTTTAATACCATTCCTCATGGTATGGTGCTCCCAAACCATAAAATTATTTTGTTGCTACTTTATAACTGTAATTTTGCTAGTGTTAGGAATTATAATGTAATACATGACACACAGGTTATCTGCTATGTAACCCCTGTGAAAGGGTCATTTGACCCCAAAAGGAGGTCACAACCCACAGGTTGAGAATCCCTGATATAAAGCATTTATGTTATATTGACATCTTTTCCAATTTAGCAATCCAACATAAGCTATGTTGTGCCACAGGAAAGTGTTTTGGCAGAACAGACTCCTTCTCACATTAGGTAAACATCCAAACTGACAGAAAAACAAAAATAAATACAAGTCTTCTAGAAGATCTTTTAAAGGGAAAATTTGAAATAATGTTACAAACCTTTCTCATAAAAAATCCCTTCCTACAACTCTATCTTTCTACACACATGCATTTATCACTCTAGGCAGATATTTTCATCTGTTCCGGAGGAATTCTGCCTCTGCATTCAAAATGAGTTTATATAAATCAAACTGTGCACCACACATGGGTGTATTTGTCAAAAAAACTATATATCGCTTTTACAGGATTTGAAATTGCATGATATCAGACACATAGAAAGGAGAAAACATGCCTAGTTTAGGAGGCGATTGTAATATTCCAGCTATGGACATATTACCTTTTGGATATCAGAGAGATAAGACTGACTTGAACATCTTTCACCCATAAAAATGAAATTATACATCAAGTATTTTCCTGTTGTTTATTCCATTTGCTTCTGGTGTTATCTAACCCAGAAAATGTATCAGTTGCCACTTAGCTGTGGTGATTTCTAGGGAATAACTATCAGTGCGCTATCGCATTCTACTATTTGGTGACCCATCTTGATGAGGGATGTCCTTCTGTATATATGTTTCTCTTATTGGTTGATGAATAAAACACTGTTTGTCCAATAGCCAGTAGAGGCAGGAAGGAAGGCGGGGCTAGGAGACGAGGAGAAAGTGGGGAGAGATGCACAGCAAAGAGATGCCATGTAACTGCAAAAAGAGTAACAGGTTTGGGCATTCTCCTGTAAGTCAAGACCACATGGAAATGCTTAGATTAATAGAAATGAGTTAATAATTAAAAGAGTGCTAGCCAGTAAGAAGACCTAGCCATTGGTCAACAGTTTTATAATTAATATAAGTCTTTGTGTGCTTATTTGGGACTGTGGGCAGAGGAACCTGGTGGGACAAGAAACTCCAGTGACACCACCTTGTGCTCTTGAGATGCAGGTTATCTTATGGAGGGTTTTTCCCAATGATACCCTATATTTCCTCTGATTCATTCAAACACTGGCTTCACACAGCCTTGGAGGAAAAGGAGATGGTTCCTTCTGCTCCATTTGGTACTCACAAAGAAGGTAGTTCAACTAGGTGACATTGGTAAGGGACACAGGAGGGCAGCACTAAAACACAGTCTTTGCTCATGCTTAAACCCTGCCTAGGAAAGTAAAATTCCAGTTGTCCCTAAAAGTGCTGGCATAACAAAACCAACACTCAGATTACACACATAATTCTGGAGCAGTTGGCAGATTCTGGGAGGCATTAATTTGCTGAAGCCAGTAGACCTGGAGGCCAGTATTTCATTTCTCATGTGGGCTACTAGATGGCAGCAATCCCTCAGTGCTGCGAAGCACCATGCAGCAGACCTTTTCCACATGGGAGGTGCAACTTTTAACTTCAATGATCTGCATTGCACTAAACTTACACTATCTATGAAAAGCTGTGGGAATTCGTCTATGCAATTTACAACTATTTATTATTTAATTGATAAATGCCTCTTGGTCACATATCAAGGGTATCTAAAGTGGCCAATAGAACCCTTGAAAACAGAAATTCTCTCTGTGTCTGAGTTAGTGTCATTTCTCAAGAGTGATAATAAAATGATAATCCCTTAACTGGATAGGCAGTGGCAACACTCCTGGGGAAATCCATGAGTACAATGTTTTACTACATTACCGAAGAGCAAAGGATGATTCTGCAAGCCGGTTCTGTCAAAGCTGACCTGCAAAAGCATCACTGGGAACATTGCCAGGGGAGACTATTAATGCTGGTGGTGCTTTTGGAAGTGTAGGATTTCATATTATTTTAACCTTTATCTATTATTTTTAACCATTACCTCATTGTCCTATAAAAATACCAGAGTGAACACATTAATTCCAGTCTTTTTTTTTTTTTTTATTGAGGAGAAAATGGTGATATCAGACCACAGACCTCAAGCTTTTTTTTTGCTTGCTGGCTAAGGCATGGGGGTGGGAGTCTGGGTGTTTCTTTCTGCCTTTAAAATCTGACCTTCCTGATTAGGGAGATATACACAAGGAGACACCTAACACAACTCTCCAAGAAAGCGACGATTTCCTTCTTTTCTCATCTGCATGATACATCACTTCCAAGGAATGTAATACCTACATTCTATCTGCTTTCCTTTGGCTTCTTTGTTTCCTAAGTCTCTAACAACTCATGCTCCTGTGGGTAAGTTATTATAAAGCAGAGAAACATAATATTTATAGTCAGCAAAGTTACTTGGTGGACCAACAGAAAAAAATACACATATTGTACAAAAAGCTCTAGTGGTAGTTAAAGTTCATTGTCACCTTGACAAAGTTTAGAAGATGGACCACTTGGGAGATGGACCTTTGGATATGCCTGGGGGGGATTACTCTGATTATGTAATTGATATGGGAAAGCCAATCTTAATTGTGAGTGGACCCATTCCTGGGACAAGACTGTATAAACGGCAG